ATATATTATATATATATATTATATATATATATATATATAATATATATATATAATATATATACATATATGCGTGTGTGTGTGTGTGTGTGTTTATATATGCTATATATATATATATATATATATATATATATATATATATATATATATATATATATATATATATATTATATAATATATATTATATATATATATATATATATATATATATATATATATATATATATATATATATATATATGCATACACGTGTGTGTTATATATATGTATGCATGCACACATTCACACACACACACACACACACACACACACACACACACACACACACACACACACCACACACACACACACACACACACACACACACACACACACACACACACACACACACACACACACCACACACACACACACACACACACACACACACACACACACACACTATGGCCCTGAGTTCATTTCCCCGCCGTTGTTGGTACGAGAACCGCGGCTGATCAGGAATGGCATCGTCGGGCAAGAGCGGCACTGCCAAGCAGCCTCTCAATAATGAACTAAAAGTGGCCTTAGACCTGCAGCGGAATGAATGGCTGCCGAAAAAAATGAATATACACACATTTGTTTGTAAATCCAATTAGATTTATCTTTCTTTTTTTCTTTTTTTTTTTTGCCTATATGCAATATATGATCTTATATAGCTCAGATAAACAATAATAGATTTAAAGAATTACTCAATTGGATTACTTATAAATCAAATGTTTCAGTTCCCGTTCGTGCCAATTTCTTCCTGAAAATGACACCGCCCTACCTGCTGGTGGCCCTGGCGTGGGTGGCAGCGGCCACCATAGCCAGTGGCACTCCGCGAACCCTGGAGGCTTCCTTCGTCGGCCATGTCAATAGTGCCACCAGTGCTTTCCCGGAAGCGCTGGCAACCCATTCCCAACCCCTGGCGACGACTCGGCGCGAGAATTCCTTGGATTTTAAAGATCACAACCTCGATTCCCGTGAGCCAAGCGAACTCTCTCCGTTGCCAGTGCCACCCCGGGGTCAGGCGAGGTCAAAGTGGTCAAACGCTCAGCCCAGTTTCAGGCAGAGCTCGCTACCTGCCGCAGAATATTGTCACCGTGCTGGAAACAGCGTGTGTGGAAACGACGACGGTCGCGGTGCCACTGGAAAGCCTTGTGTTTCCAATGCCTTGCGTGTGTGACCTCTGCTCCTACACGCCCTCAAGTGAAGTATGCAATTGCTTGCGTGCACCCGAGTGTCGCGCGTGAGTGCTCGTTCTGGAACATTTTGTAAGTCGGGCAGTTATTTTTGACACTCATTATATATATACATATATTTATACATACACACGGATGCATATATATGTATGTGTGTATGCGTGTGCGTGTGTTGTCTGCGTACAGGCAATGAAGATTTCTTTATAAAAAATGATAATCACAATGAAAAATCATTTTTCCTACAACCTAAAACTCACATTTTGCACAGAGAAAGATAATATATTGATATAGCTTGGCTTCCTCAGCAGCTAATGAAAGATCATTATTTATTTTGATCCAAACACATGGTCTATTTTTTTTTTTTTTTTTAATAATAATAAAAGCAACATTGCCTTCGGTCGTGACTCTAGTCCCTGGGTTACCTGTGGCTGCCCAACCCCGAGGTCTGGTTTCATTACCTTGACACTCCCAGGTTCGGTACAGGTGAGCAGGTCTCAGAGCGGGCTTCATGATCTAACTATTGTTTAGCACTCACGGATTGTAGGAAGAAGAAAAGAAGAAAAATGAGAGAATGCTCGGAAGAAATACACAAGACTGACAAATAAGATCCAGAAGAGGGAACAACAAACAACACAAGATGAGGACAAGCAAGGACCCGAAAGAAAAAAAAAGAAAAACGGATAAAAACAAGGCATAGGAGAGGGAAAACAAGGGGACATTAAAATAATAAGGAAAAAATAATAATAACCGTCAAAAAAAAGTGAAAATAAAGAGTCCTCCATATTCATGAACATGAAATACAAATTGATTATATAAATGAAATGTAAACTAATTATATATGTATGAACATAACATGCAGATACAGCAAAGAAATTCTGAAATATATTATAAAATGTGTAATATCTTCTATGTTTTCATAAAGTCGCTAGATTAGTTTCACTTCTACCATACCAACTCTGCAAATTCGTTATATTTGATTCTATGATATTTTAGCATGAGTATGAATGTAATCACCTACACACAAATACAAATCTATCTTTTTATCCATCTATCTATATATCTATCCATCTATTTTTTTCTCCCATCTCTCTATCTATCAGTATATATA